GAACCCGGGCCACGCCAGGCCTGCCGCGCTGGCCTCCCCAGGGGTCCCCAAACCGATCCTGCCGGTCACCTTGATCTTGACCTCGCAAGGGCTTCTCCCCCTGACCATCGTCAGCCTGCCGGGCCAAGGAGGGCCGCCCCCCAGCAGCCCACGCCACGCGCCCAGTTCGGCCCAGGCGGCACCAGCATCGGGGGCCCAGTCGGGCAAGGGAGCCCCTTCTGGCGGCCCTCCTTCCTCTCCTCTCCCCCCAGCGAATGGCCCTCCGGCGGCTCGCCTCTCGGCTCCCCCAAGGCGAGCTCCTCCCTCGGAAGGGGCCCAGCCCAGGACTGCCCCGACCGTCCCTGTCCAGATGGGAGCCCCTCAGGACCAGGCGGCGGGAAGCGCCCCTCCGACCGTCGCCGGGGGCTCCCCTCACCCAGCAGGGCCGTCGTCCCCTCGTAGCCACCCTGCCCTGCCAGAGGAGAAGCTGAGCCCGGACTACCGTCTCCTCTCCCTCGAAGACGGGCCAGCGGTGAAGGCGTGGGCCCAGGGGGCCTCTGGGGGCGGCCCCCTCGCCCTCGGCCCCCGCCTCCCCTACCTGCCCCCGTTCCTCTGCAGCCTGAAGGCCCTCTCGTCCCTCCTGCTCAAGAAGGAGAGCCTGGTGCGCGGGGCTGCCTCCCTCCTGACCTCGGGGGGCCGTCTGGGGGAGACCGCCCCCCCTCCGGACCCGGAGGAGAGCCTGAGGGCGCTGGTGCGGAGCCGGCTGCGCGACAACCCCGCCTACCTCCTGCTGAAGCGCCGGTTCTTGGCCGCCTTCACCTTCCCGGCGGCCCTGGCGGCCCTGCCTCCGTACAGGGTGGCCACCACGCTCTCCGGCGGCCGGTGGTGGGAGAGCAGGTCGGGGGAAGACTCCAGCTCATCGGAAGAGGAGGAGGAGGAAGAAGAAGGGGTCGAAGGCGACGAGGAATCCCGTGGAGCAGCCGGGAACGGGCCCAGCCGGGTGGTGGTTCCCCCCAGAGGGCAGGAAGGCCACCCTTGGGAGCCGGAGGTAAGCCTCGGC